ATCTAAAAGAACTTGTGTCAGAACTTTCTCCAATTAAACCAAGATAAAACTGAGGTAATGGTTTTTGGAGCCAAGTCAGAACGTATAAAAGTTAGCGCTGAGCTTCAGTCTGCAATGTTCAAAACAACAGATAAAGCCAGAAATCTAGGTGTAGTCATGGACTCTGACCTGAGTTTCAACAGTCACATTAAAACAGTTACTAAATCAGCCTACTATCACCTAAAGAATATATCTAGGATTAAAAGACTAATGTCACAGCAGGATCTGGAGAAACGTGTCCATGCTTTTATCTTCAGTAGACTGGACTACTGCAATGGTGTCTTCACAGGTCTCACTAAAACATCTATTAGGAAGCTGCAGCTGATTCAGAACGCTGCTGCTCGAGTCCTCACTAACACTAAGAAAGTGGATCACTCCTGTTCTGAAGTCTTTACACTGGCTTCCTGTGTGTCAAAGAATAGATTTCTAAATACTGCTGCTGGTTTATAAAGCACTGAATGGTTTAGGCCCAAAATACATTTCTGACCTCCTGCTAAATGATGAAGCATCCAGATCTCTCAGGTCTTCAGGGACTGGTCAGCTTTCTGTCCCCAGAGTCAGAACTAAACATGGAGAAGCATTTTCTCCATGTCTTTCGTTTTTTGTAAAGCACTTTGAATTGCCTTGTGTTGAAAGCTGCTATATAAATAAACTTGCCTAAAACTAAATCCTGTCCTAAAAGTTTCATTTCTATATTTTTTGATTAATTAGTTTCCTGTTGTTTCCTTCCCACTCGTCTGCAGTCAGTTACACTCAGCGACACATTTCAAACTCTAACTCCTAAAATAAATAAATGATGTTGTACTTTGTTTTCAATTTACTTTTGAAGTTTGGAACATTTAGAACAATTATAACATTTTAAACATCACGAACATTATAAATATTTAGAATGGGGCGGGGCTTCATGTGGGGCGGGGCTTCATGTGGGGCGGGGCGTCACGCGGGGCGTGGCCTGGGGGTGGGGCTTCTGGACAGCGGCTGCCGCGCAGGAAGGACGAGCTGCCGGAGTTCTGCCGACACGAAGAACCGGCGGAACCTTTGAAGCTCGGGCGCCTCCGACGCCAGCGGCAGCGCAGGATCCGGATAAACGCCTGACACGGAACAACAACACAACAACAGAGGAACACAGAACAACAACACATCAACAGAGGAACACAGAACAACAACACATCAACAGAGGAACACAGAACAACAACACAACATCAGAGGAACACAGAACAACAACACATCAACACAGAACAAAAACACATCAATAGAGGAACACAGAACAACAACACAACATCAGAGGAACACAGAACAACAACACATCAACAGAGGAACACAGAACAACAACACATCAACACATAACAACAACACATCAACAGAGGAACACGGAACAACAACACATCAACAGAGGAACACAGAACAACAACACAACATCAGAGGAACACAGAACAACAACACAACATCAGAGGAACACAGAACAACAACACATCAACAGAGGAACACAGAACAACAACACATCAACACACTCACAACAAACAACATCACACAGAGAACCCGGAACAACAACACATCAACAGAGGAACACAGATTACAAACAACACCATCAACACAAAAACCATCAACCCACCTATCAACAAGAGGAACAGAGCGAACAACAACACATCAACCACAGAACAACAAACACATCAACAGAGGAACACAGAATCAACACACACATCCAACACGCCAGGATCACACGAGAATCAAACAACACATTCAACAGAGGACACAAGAACACACAACACCATCAACAGAGGAATTTTCACAGAACAACAACTAATCAACAGAGGAACACAGAACAACAATCCCATGTCAACAGAGGAACACAGAACAACTTATTACACATCAACAGAGATACACAGTCAGAACAACAACACATTCAACAGAGCGAAGGAACCAACCACATCCAACAGAGGAACACAGAACAACAACACAACAACAGAGGAACACAGAACAACAACACATCAACAGAGGAACACAGAACAACAACACATCAACAGAGGAACATGGAACAACAACACATCAACAGAGGAACACGGAACAACAACACATCAACAGAGGAACATGGAACAACAACACATCAACAGAGGAACATGGAACAACAACACATCAACAGAGGAAACAACACACTCAACAGAGAACACAGAACAACAACACATCAACAGAGGAACATGGAACAACAACACATCAACAGAGGAACAGAGAACAACAACACATCAACAGAGGAACATGGAACAACAACACATCAACAGAGGAACACGGAACAACAACACATCAACAGAGGAACACAGAACAACAACACATCAACAGAGGAACACAGAACAACAACACATCAACAGAGGAACACAGAACAACAACACATCAACAGAGGAACACAGAACAACAACACATCAACAGAGGAACACAGAACAACAACACATCAACAGAGGAACACAGA